GGTACAGATGAATCACTGCCTATTACTTCATTATCTTAAATGAAATACCTGGAATTCCTTTTGACTCAAGTATGTCAGGAAAACTGATTGGGAATAATGTAGTAAAGGAAGCGAATGACAGACTAAAGTTCCTCTATAGAGAGGCACAGTGTCTACCTACTGAGGCTCTTAGAGCCCGACGTCTAGCTCTCATACAGTGTCATGATAAATTAGACACATGTGCAATTCTTGGGTATCTTTATTGAGGAAACGTTTCGCCACACAGTGGCTTCCTCAGTCCATACATAGGAGAAACTTGAAGAACAGGAGGAGAATGAGGTAATCAGTCCCTCAACCTTGAGTCGATGTGGTCAGTCCATCAATCTTGAATAGAAGATTGAATAGAAGATTGATGGACTGACCACATCGACTCAAGGTTGAGGGACTGATTACCTCATTCTCCTCCTGTTCTTCAAGTTTCTCTTATGTATTTACTGATGAAGCCAATGTGTGGCGAAACGTTTCCTCAATAAAGATACCAAGAATTGCACATGTGTCTAATTTATCAACGTTTCGGTTCTCTGAACCATTCATCTGCAATACAGTGTCATATAGATTACTATTGATAAATTAGACACATGTGCAACTCTTGGGTATCTTTATTGAGGAAACGTTTCGCCACACAGTGGCTTCAAACAGTCCATACATAGGAGAAACTTGAAGAACAGGAGGAGAATGAGGTAATCAGTCCCTCAACCTTGAGTCGATGTGTTCAGTCCATCAATCTTGAGTAGAATACGGCAGATGAGCGGAGAAGCAGCTTATAAACCGTATGGCAGGAGAGGTGTAGCAGTCATAGGTAGTGTCACATTTGTTCAATGTGGAAGTAGGTTGTGCCCAAGAATTAGGCAAGCGAAGAATTCCTAAGTATTAAGATCCCAAGAAGTTGCAGTGTCTGACAGGTTTGTAGATGAATGGTTCAGAGAACCCACATGTTATAAATTAGGACACATGTGCAACTCTGTGGTATCTTTATTGAGGAAACGTTTCGCCACACAGTGGCTTCATCAGTCCATACATAGGAGAAACTTGAAGAACAGGAGGAGAATGAGGTAATCAGTCCTCAACCTTGAGTCGATGTGTTCAGTCCATCAATCTTGAGTAGAATACGGCAGATGAGCGGAGAAGCAGCTTATAAACCGTATGGCAAGAGAGGTGTAGCAGTCATAGGTAGTGTCACATTTTTTCAATGTGGAAGTAGGTTGTGCCCAAGAATTAGGCAAGCGAAGAATTCCTAAGTATTAAGATCCCAAGAAGTTGCAGTGTCTGACAGGTTTGTAGATGAATGGTTCAGAGAACCGACATGTTGATAAATTAGACACATGTGCAACTCTTGGGTATCTTTATTGAGGAAACGTTTCGCCACACAGTGGCTTCATCAGTCCATACATAGGAGAAACTTGAAGAACAGGAGGAGAATGAGGTAATCAGTCCCTCAACCTTGAGTCGATGTGTTCAGTCCATCAATCTTGAGTAGAATACGGCAGATGAGCGGAGAAGCAGCTTATAAACCGTATGGCAGGAGAGGTGTAGCAGTCATAGTAGTGTCACATTGTTCAATGTGGAAGTAGGTTGTGCCCAAGAATTAGGCAAGCGAAGAATTCCTAAGTATTAAGATCCCAAGAAGTTGCAGTGTCTGACAGGTTTGTAGATGAATGGTTCAGAGAACCGACATGTTGATAAATTAGACACATGTGCAACTCTTGGGTATCTTTATTGAGGAAACGTTTCGCCACACAGTGGCTTCATCAGTCCATACATAGGAGAAACTTGAAGAACAGGAGGAGAATGAGGTAATCAGTCCCTCAACCTTGAGTCGATGTGTTCAGTCCATCAATCTTGAGTAGAATACGGCAGATGAGCGGAGAAGCAGCTTATAAACCGTATGGCAGGAGAGGTGTAGCAGTCATAGGTAGTGTCACATTTGTTCAATGTGGAAGTAGGTTGTGCCCAAGAATTAGGCAAGCGAAGAATTCCTAAGTATTAAGATCCAAGAAGTTGCAGTGTCTGACAGGTTTGTAGATGAATGGTTCAGAGAACCGACATGTGATAAATTAGACACATGTGCAACTCTTGGGTATCTTTATTGAGGAAACGTTTCGCCACACAGTGGCTTCATCAGTCCATACATAGGAGAAACTTGAAGAACAGGAGGAGAATGAGGTAATCAGTCCCTCAACCTTGAGTCGATGTGTTCAGTCCATCAATCTTGAGTAGAATACGGCAGATGAGCGGAGAAGCGCTTATAAACCGTATGGCAGGAAGGTGTAGCAGCATAGGTAGTGTCACATTTGTTCAATGTGGAAGTAGGTTGTGCCTAAAATTAGGCAAGCGAAGAATTCCCAAGTATTAAGATCCCAAGAATTGCAGTATCTGACAGGTTTGTAGATGAATGGTTCAGAGAACCGACATGTTGATAAATTAGACACATGTGCAACTCTTGGGTATCTTTATTGAGGAAACGTTTCGCCACACAGTGGCTTCATCATCCATACATAGGAGAAACTTGAAGAACAGGAGGAGAATGAGGTAATCAGTCCACTCAACCTTGAGTCGAAAGTGTTCAGTCCATCAATCTTGAGTAGAATACGGCAGATGAGCGGAGAAGCAGCTTATAAAAACCCTATGGCAGGAGAGGTGTAGCAGTCATAGGTAGTGTCACATTTGTTCAATGTGGAAGTAGGTTGTGCCCAAGAATTAGGCAAGCGAAGAATTCCTAAGTATTAAGATCCCAAGAAGTTGCAGTGTCTGACAGGTTTGTAGATGAATGGTTCAGAGAACCGACATGTTGATAAATTAGACACTCAAGATTGATGGACTGAACACATCGACTCAAGGTTGAGGGACTGATTACCTCATTCTCCTCCTGTTCTTCAAGTTTCTCCTATGTATGGACTGATGAAGCCACTGTGTGGCGAAACGTTTCCTCAATAAAGATACCCAAGAGTTGCACATGTGTCTAATTTATCAACATGTCGGTTCTCTGAACCATTCATCTACAAATAGATTACTATTGTTCTTCATGGTATTCTGCCTGAGCAAAAAACTGAAAGACAGTCTACAAATCACAAAAAAACAAATGATGAGATTAATCCTGGACCTGTGTCCAAGAAAACGTGTAGGTCAGCAGGAATTGCAATAACTGGATATGCTGAATGTTGAAGATTGAGTAAAACAACTAAAGTTAAATCACGTCTATAGAATTGCTCACAAGCAGTCCTGAATATCTTGCTGCCAGGTTTAAGGTTGAAACCCAAAACAAGTCTGGTACTAGGGAAAGTGAACACAGTTTTGTAGTACCTGCAGTAGGTGGTAAGGCTTCAAACACCTTGTCTATAATAATTTAATTCCGACGATTCTACCGCGCTGGCGTACTCTAACTGGTTTCCTTACTCAAAATGACTCACGAAATCGTAATGACACGATTGCAAACAAATCATACCACGGGTGGAGTTTGAACCCGCGGTCAGAGAGTCTTATTGAAGCTAGCTAGCCCAGAGGCTAACGAGACGGTCTGGAGTTTTGAGACTCTATGACCGGGGGTTCAAACTCCACCTGTGGTATCGTTTCCTTACTCAAAATTTCACCTTTCATGTACACTCTCTCAGTGTATACCACACTACTATAAGCAGGTAATATTCGATTATCGAATATCACAGCAGTCCCACATCTCGATGTAAACAAGCTGTTGTACTCCCACGAGTACAAAATATTACATTTAGGAAGAAGAAAGGCGAAATCTTCATAGATTTCCAACAGTCCTAATTCCATCCAGGCTTCACTTCTCGAATCAGATATTTTCCTCAGCCTAACCGCTTACTTTTCAAAAAAGATTAAAACAAAAAACCCACATAACCGTGGATGGAGCAACTCATCACCCACCTTCACCCAGGAAAGGAACTTTATGACGCCAATAAAAGAGAGAAGGCTAAAAGACAGAACGGGAGGAGGGAGAGTAGCAGTAGTATTAATAGTACTACTACCACCACCACTACTACTACTACTGCTAGTTGTAGTAGTAGCAGTAGTAGTAAGAGTAGTAAGAGTATTACAGGTGGTAGAATTAATAGTAGAGTGTAGTATAGTGAAAGAATCTGTTAGAGTTGTAGTAATAGTAGAGCATGTGAACAAGAGGAATAAGGAGACCTGAGAGAGAGTAATAGCCAATGGCGTAGGACAAAACCCATCAAAGCAAAAGAAAGGAGAGGTAAATAAAGTGCAAAGACATAGGAAGAAGGAGAGCAAGAGACAAATATCAGGTCATGTCACAAGTGTTCTGAAAATTAAAGCACTTTAGCAACTTTATGAGAAAAGCAGTTATCAACAGAAACAAAGCCAGAAGTGTTGTGTATAAAATCTGATTCAACCAAACGTCATCTTTGAAGACCAAGTGAAAGGATGGGTGATTTGAAAGAAAATAACATTATTAGAGACGGCAAGGAGAACACTTTTGTTCTTAAGGTCTGTTAAAAATAGAGGCCAGGAAGAAGACAGGAAGATCAAGAACTGGAGGACACACCGAAAGCGTCAATAACAGGTGAAGTATGAGTCAGATTACAGTGAAGGGAATCAGTTTGATGATAGCAAGTGTCATACTAAGAGGACGGTGAGAGTTGTTAAGACTGTGAACAGTGAGTATACAAGGAGGGTAAGAACAGGAGATTTCGCAGAAATGAATCTTGGAAAGGAAAAATTCCCCTTAATATGAGAGCAAACTGAGTTCGTGAAATCGAAAAGGACAGTCAAAATGAAAGAGCGGACTGCAGAATGGAAATCCGAGTCGATAAATGCTTCACCACAGAAATGCTGTTACATCACTATTACACTTCTTAAATGTACTCATGTCACTTCTCTAGCCAGAGCACAAATACCCACCTACTGAAGTTTCACTCGCATTGTTCTGCTTCATTCACACACAAGTGTGCGAGAGACTAATTTTCGTATCGATGGGTTCTACTCACCTATGACGGCGATGGTAAACTGCTGCGAGTGTTCACCGTGAGGGTTGGTGGCGCGGCAGGTGTAAGGGCCAGCATCACCTGGTGTCACAGCCTGGATCTCCAACACAGTCAGCACTGATCTGGGTCCACCACTTTCTCGTACCAACACTCTACTACAAGATAAAAGTAAGTCGATGAATAGCGTCTGTCTTCTACAGAATACATTATCTAGCGTGGAAAAATACACTTATACTCAGTTCAGGATATTTATTACAATAATTATTATAATTTATTATTATTATTATAATTATTATTATTATTATTATTATTATTATTATTATTATTATTATTATTAGTAGTAGTAGTAGTAGTAGTAGTAGTAGTAGTAGTAGTAGTAGTAGTAGTAATAGTAGTAGTAGTAATAATAGTGGTAGTAGTAATAGTAGTAGTAGTAGTAGTAGTAGTAGTAGTAGTGGTAGTAAATGTGGTGAGACGGGTTGGGTTAGAGAAGGACCAGTTGACAGCATGTTAAGCGTCTCCAGAATTGGTAATATCCTGTTGATTAGCAATATTGAGATACTGTAACTACCGGACTTTTGATGGATAGTATTACTGACAGCAATATGTGCTGCTTCTATGCACTTTCGCTGTCTTAAATCTCTTCTTTAACCACTAGTTTAGCCTCACTGAATTTCATGATGTGTCCAACATCGTCCCTATGTTGAACACACGCGTTTTTATGGTCATCATTGATGTAGGCGTTTTAGTGTTCTCTAATCCTAATGTCCAGAGAACTGGCTGTTTCCCCCACATATAGTTTGTCACCCCCCCCCCCCGCCCACTTCCCACAAGGTACAGTGTATGACTAACGAAATCGTAATGACACGATTGCAAACAAACCATACCAGTGTATACTCCTGCACTCGTGCCAGAGTCAAGTTTAGGATTTTGTACCAGGTTTCTAATAGTAGTTTATGAAGCTGGTAGATGTTTTAGTTAGTTTTCGGTAAAAAAAAATTGAAACTTTAGTTGCAACGTCGCTGACCGGTGAAACAATGTAACTTGGAGGCTTTTATTCAATTTGATCGGTGTTGCTCTAGTTGAGGATTTGTGTCGTACGTTTCCTACAATCACGTATGATGTGTAGGGGAAAGTGTAGTGAGCTAAAAGAAGGGGTGATGTAGGTGCATTCTTCCTCGAGGATCTGAGGACTAGAAATTTCTGTAAGCGCTCAGAAAGAACGTTATAACTACCCCTCTTCTAGTTCTAATGTCAAGATGTGAGAAGAAATGTAAAGATCGTTCGTGTAGGTATATGTGGGGGAAACAGCCAGATCTCTGGACATTAGAATCAGGGAACACAAAAATCCCTGCATCAATGATGACCGTAAAAACGCGTGTGCTCAACGTAGGGACGATGTTGAACACCTCATGAAATTCATTGAGGATAAAGAAGACGATTTAAGACAGCGAAAGTGCTTAGAAGCAGCACTTATTGTTCTCAGTAACACTATCCATCAAAAGTCCGGTATTTACAGTATTTCAAAATTACTAATCAACAGGATGTACCATTTCTGGAGACTGCTGTAACATGATGCCAACTGGCCCTTCTCTAACCAATCAAAACTGTTTATCTCCGCTCGCTCCTAACACGCTCACGCACGCTTACTGAAAGTCTAAGCCCCTCGCACATAAACCCCTCCTCTACCCCCTCTTTCCAACCTTTCCTTGGATGACCCCTACCCCGCCTTCCTTCCACTAAAGATTTATATACCATCGAAATCATTCAATTTTGTTCCATCTTCTCTAAATGTCCGAACCATCTCAACAACCTCCTTCTAATCTCCAATCAACGGATTTTCGGCAAAATATTCAGATCACACATTGCCCTCAGACACAGCATCTCCACTGCCTCCAGTCTCCTTGTTGCAACATTCACCACTCATACTTCACACCAATATAAGAGTGTTGGTACCACTATACTCTCATACTCTCATTCTCATACTCTCATACTCTCCTTCCATGGATAACATTCTCCGTCTCCCCAGACTGGTCAGTTCACCATTCGCCATTTTTCCAACGTCAATTCTAGGGTCACATCGTCTTTCATAGATCCATTTGTTGACAACTCCACTTCCAAATATCCGAACACATTCATTTGCTCCAAATTCCCTCCCTCCAGTCTGATATTCCCTTCATCTTCCCCATTCCTCCAACTCCCCATCTAATAAATCTCCTCTTCTATTTTTAACTGTCAAATCTATTCGTTCTCAAGGCTTTCTCGACCTCACTCAAAACTTTTTCTTATTCTCAGCAAAATTTGTTGACAGCATCTTACCCACTCTCTCATTTGCTCTAATTTTACATCCCTTCGCCACTCTCTTAACCTCTCTTCTTCTCTCCATTTACTCCTCCCTCCTTATGAGACTTCTACTTTGTAAAAACCTCTCATAATCTAACTTTTTCTCTCTTACTACTATTTTTACCTCATTATTCCACCAGTCGCCCCTATTAGCGCCTACACCCCATACCTCTTCAACCTCATTGCCTATACTCTCACTGGCCTATCTTTCTTGAAGACAGCCTGGGGTCTATTGGTAATCCCCCTGATGTATGCTGGGAGGCAGTTGAACAGTCATGGGCCACTGACACTTAATGTGTTGTCTCTTAGTGTCTTCGTGGCATCCTTGCTTTTCATTGGGGGAATGTTGCATCTCCTGCAGAGTCTTTTGCTTTCGTGTGGAAGTTTGGTACTAATCCCTCTAGGATTCTCCAAGTGCATATAATCATGTATCCTTCTCGCCTTCATTCCAGGGAATACAAATCAAGGGACTTCAACTGTCCCCAGTAATTTAGGTGCTGTACTGTACTTATGTGTGCAGTGAAAGATTTCTGTACATTCTCTAGGTCAGCAATTTTGCCAGCTTTGAAGGGGGCAGTTAGTGCACAGCAGTGTTCCAGCCTAGAGTGAACAAGCAGTTTCAAATCAGATTCATCTTCATTTATTTCTTCACAAGTAGTACATAGAGAATATATGTTTACAGTTATGTGTTGCAGTACACAGCCACTATTATGCCTCGGCATTATGGACTGACTTAATTTAATGTCTTACTGACTAATTATCACTAAAGAAATTATCATAGTTGTACAGTAGTTCTATTAATAATAACTGAATCTAATTTACACAAACAATAGGATATATTCATGTATTCAAAAATGCTTTTTATGAAACATGATTCAGGAGTAGTTTACAGTAGTTTACAGTAGTTTACAGTAGTTTACAGTAGTTTACAGTAGTTTACAGTAGTTTACAGCAGTTTACAGTAGTTTACAGCAGTTTACAGTAGTTTACAGCAGTTTACAGTAGTTACAGTAGTTTACAGTAGTTTACAGTAGTTTACACTAGTTTACAGTAGTTTACAGTAGTTTACAGTAGTGTACAGTAGTTTACAGTAGTTTTCAGCAGTTTACAGTAGTTTACAGTAGTTTACAGTAGTTTTCAGCAGTTTACAGTAGTGTACAGTAGTTTACAGTAGTTTTCAGCAGTTTACAGTAGTTTACAGTAGTGTACAGTATGAGACTGCTACAATTTGGTGAAGGGTAATACAGGTTTTGGTAGGTATGTATACTTCTATGTGGTAATTTGTCAATATATTAGCTTGGTTGTCTAGTTATGAAGTTTTAAGATTTAGGTAATTGGTAGATTTATTGGTAGTGTTAAATATTGAGTATTGTGTATTTAGTCTAGGGTGATTAAGTGGCTTTTGTGAAGAGTCTTAAATTGATTTTCAGACCGAGTTACTTTGGTATTTTCTGGTAATGAATTCCAAATTTTGGAGCCCTTTATGTGCACAGAGTTTTTACACAGTGTGATATGGACAAAAAGAGATCTGTCTTGTGTTATGGTGGTGTGTCCTGTTAAGGTTGGTGAGGAGAAGTTTGAGTGGAGGGTTTATGTTTGCGTGTATTGTTCTACGTATGTAGTAGGTACATGAATAAGTGTGGATGTTCCTAATGGTGAGCAGATTTAGACTTCTGAATATTGGTGGAGTATGCTGTCGGGAGTGGGAATTTGTTACCGTTCTGACTGCCGCCTTTTGCTGGGTTATTAGTGATCTCAGGTGATTAATGTTGTTGATCTCCATGCACAAATTCTATATGTGAGGTAATGGTTGATGAGTGAATGATACAGTGCAAGGAGAGCCGATTGTGGAACATAGTATCGTATCTTTGATAGTATGCCTACAGTCTTAGAGATTTTCTTGGTTATCTGTTGTATATGTGTCTGGAACTTGAGGTGACTGTCAAGGTGGATTCCTAGGAATTTTCCCTCCGTGAGACTTGTGACGGGTGATCCTTTTAGCGTTATGTTAAGTGGAACATTTGCAGCTTCGTTTTCAAACTGAATGAAGTAGGTTTTGTCAGTATTCAGTGTAAGTTTATTCGTCATCATCCAGGCAGATATTTTCTGTAATTCGGCATTGACTGTGTTGGCGAGTATGACTGGGTTTTGGTGAGAGAAGATGTATGTAGTGTCATCTGCAAATAATATGGGTTTGAGAAGCCGTGATTCATTCGGTAGGTCGCTGATGTAGATGGGAAAGAGGAGTGGTCCAAGGACGCTTTCCTGTGACTCCGACTGTGATTGGTTGTGTGGAAGAGTTTGCACCATTTGTGTGCACATATTGGCTTCTGTTGCTAAGGTATGACTATAGGTAGTTGAAGAGAATCGTCATGGGCTTGGCATCCTTAGCTTAGAAGGTTCTCATAATCCATCCTATCATTTTTCTAGCAGATGAGGTAGATACACTGTTGTGGTCTTTGAATGTGAGATCCAATACAATAGCAAGCAGGCCACCATAACAGTGCAGAACAAGCCACATATGGATGGAGATCTTTCTGTCTCTCGTGCATTGTCAGGAGCTATTCAGTGTTGGGAGACAGCAGCAGTTAGGAGGGGAAATTCTCTGAAGCAATGCAGAAGGTATCAGTGGCAGCCCATGACAGGGAGTGAGAAGTGTCACTGACCCAAACACCTACCTCCTCCATCTCCTTAAACCTTTCGGAGTAAAAGGAGATGGAGGACCTAAGAGGAAAGCAAGTTAAAGAATATTAAGAAAACGCAGCAGTCAGCCCAAAACCACATCTAATAGACATCAACTGATCTCTTGCAATAAGGAATCACTTTGCCTAAGTGGTTAACACCCCAATAC